CGTAGCTCTTAGTTCCTGGAAGAGTATAGTGCCTCTAGGTAGAGAAACGTAGCTCTTAGTTCCTGGAAGAGTATAGTGCCTCTAGGTAGAGAAACGTAGCTCTTAGTTCCTGGAAGAGTATAGTGCCTCTAGGTAGAGAAATGTAGTTCATAGTTTCTTTTAGATATATAGAAAAACATGTAGCCCATGGTACCTTCTATATGTGAAAACATGTAGCTATGGTTACCCTGTAGGTAAAGACATTAGTCATGGGTAGTTTCTAGGAAGAGACGTGTAGCCATGGGTAATTTCGTGGGTGGTTGGCGGGTGCTCTGGTGTGGTTTGCTCCTTCTTTCCTATAAAAAAACATTATCGTCTCTATCTCCCCTCCTTCTTTTTTGTGTTTGTTACTCTCTTGTAGAACCTCTAATCTTCTGGCGCTCATATGACCTTGTGCAGTTGCGAGTGCCGTAAAACACTTACTAAAACTAAACGGGTAATTTCTGGTTAGAGACATGTAGCCATGGGCAGTTTCTAGGTAGAGACATGCATGTAGCCATGGGCAGTTTCTAGGTAGAGACATGCATGTAGCCATGTGCAGTTTCTCTAGGTGTAGGGACATGTAGCCATGGGTAGTTTCTAGGTGTAGAGACAGGTAGCCACCGGTAGCTTCTAGGTAGAGACATGTAGCCATGGGTAGTTTTTAGGTGTAGAGACATGTAGCCATCGGTAGCTTCTAGGTAGAGACATGTAGTCATGGGTAGTTTCTAGGTGTAAGAGACATGTAGCCATCGGTAGTTTCTAGGTGTAAGAGACATGTAGCCATCGGTAGCTTCTAGGTAGAGACATGTAGCCATCGGTAGCTTCCAGGTAGAGACATGTAGCCATCGGTAGCTTCTAGGTAGAGACATATGTAGCCATGCGTAGCCTGTAAGAAGAACCACATGCACTTGCACTTTGTGGGTGACAGGAGCGGGGCCACATAGCTAACCCAAAAGTGTTTTTTTTAAAAACCACTGAGCTTCGTGTGGTTCTTGTCTTTGCGTCTTTTGCAGTACACAGGCAAGGGAGGTGGCGTCTGACCACTAGGCTACCGGACTCGTAATCATGAGATTGCTGGTTCGTGGGATCGAGCCTCAGCTCGGTCCGACGTTGTGTCCTTGGGAAAGGCACTTTGCTGACAAATTTCCCACTTGGCTCGGTCCTTTCGGAGATGGACGTTAAGCTCGGAGGTCTCGCCTCTTAAAAATAACCTGGGCGTTAAACCCATATCATTTTCCAAAGACTATAGGGACTTTGTACACACTTGAACTGAAACAGCTGATCTGAATAGGCAGGCCTCTAATGGTGAAAGCTAAGACGCACTTTTATAACTTTAGTAGGAGTTTTATATCACTTGCAACACAATAAATAGGTCATATCATCAGTGCCTGGGACTAGGGAATAACGTTCAAAGAAAAGGAGGAGGAGTGATTGAGACGATAGGTATATA